AGCCTGCAGGGCAGCACAAGGTGGCAGCCAGCATTTTGCAGCAGCCGGATATCCGGTTATCCCAATTACCGACTTTCCCAAAATTTCAGGCGGGGCTGAGCACCCCCCAGCCCCCCCCCCCCCTGTGGCTCCGCCTCTGCCTGTAGACGTAGATGCCACTGGTTCTTCACGTTCTGCAGATGTAGATGCCACTGGTTCTTCACGTTCTGCACATGTAGATGCCACTGGTTCTTCACGTTCTGCAGATGTAGATGCTACTGGTTCTTCACGTTCTGCAGATGTAGATGCCACTGGTTCTTCACGTTCTGCAGATGTAGATGCCACTGGTTCTTCACGTTCTGCAGATGTAGATGCCACTGGTTCTTCACGTTCTGCAGATGTAGATGCCACTGGTTCTTCACGTTCTGCAGATGTAGATGCTACTGGTTCTTCGCGTTCTGCAGATGTAGATGCCACTGGTTCTTCACGTTCTGCAGATGTAGATGCCACTGGTTCTTCACGTTCTGCAGATGTAGATGCCACTGGTTCTTCACGTTCTGCAGATGTAGATGCCACTGGTTCTTCACGTTCTGCAGATGTAGATGCCACTGGTTCTTCACGTTCTGCAGATGTAGATGGCACTGGTTCTTCACGTTCTGCAGATGTAGATGCCACTGGTTCTTCACGTTCTGCAGATGTAGATGCCACTGGTTCTTCACGTTCTGCAGATGTAGATGCCACTGGTTCTTCACGTTCTGCAGATGTAGATGCTACTGGTTCTTCGCGTTCTGCAGATGTAGATGCCACTGGTTCTTCACGTTCTGCAGATGTAGATGCCACTGGTTCTTCACGTTCTGGAGATGTAGATGCCACCACCGCCATCTATTGCACGGCGGACGAACTTACCACTCTCGGTCCGAACAGGCGACTGGACATACGAACAAGGTTTGTTCGTATATCTCTGAAAGTTCGTAAGTCGAACGTTCGCAAGTAGAGGTGTCCGTGCAATAATAGGCGTTGCGCCTGTGCCTCTTGTGAGCGGGACCAGTGCGAGGACTCGCACCATCTCGGGTGACGGGAATTCGGGCGATGCCGGGAGCTCTCGGGTTTTGGTGCCGAGATTCCCCCGGTACACCGGTGGCCTCTGCTGCGTTGAACTTCCTTTGCAAGAGGCCTCCGCTCGCAGGGTTGATAAAGGGCCCAGTGCGAGAGTGGCGAACGCGTCCGTGGGCAGAAGCTCGGCGACCCCTCGACCTTGCGTGGCAGATTTGTGTGCCAGCGAAAACAAGACGCCATGCGTGTTCAACCAAAGTGAGGTTGACATCGCCACCTTTGCTTTGCATCACCGAACCCAGCCGTACAACGAAAACCACTCCCAACTCCGCTCTCCGTCCACCAACCCTCTCTACGTTTCCATCGTTTTCATCCCGGACCGATATTCAATAACTGCCCCCCCCCCCCCCCCCCCCCACTGTGTCCAGTCGTCGAGCGACCTTTCGCTCCCGCTCATATTCATCCTGAACCCGACCTTGGACCCAACCTTCCCCATTCAGCCCTTCCCCGAGCACCGTTCGCACGTGGGTTTATTGCCATCGAGTGCGAGGGTCAGCGGGTTGCGAGTTCAAGTCGTCCTTGCGGCATGGAAGGGGTGGATGCATTGGGTTGTGCGGGGTGGTGTTGACCCAACTAATCGTCCCTCCAAAGTCGGTAATAATAAGCACCACTTTGCGAGAAAGTCAACAGCGGCTGTCCTATGGATAGACTCGACCTCCGCACCCTCCCTCCCCCCGGTCCACCCTACCATAGGAATGTGGAATTTCCACCACTGGCTCTGCAGGAGCTCACTTAGAATGTTTCACTACCGTCTTGTGAATCGAGCATTCCACGGGGAGCGGGGAGGGGGGACGTCTGACCGCTGGGCTGAGCGCCGCGATTCAACTTTAGTCCTCATAAGTTGCACGCAACAGGGAGGGCATTGCACAATCACTGTCCGGTGACTTCCCCCCCCCCTCCACCATCCATAAATCCCCCGCCCCCAAACTGCCCCTCCCCCCCTACTCCGCCGCGTCCGAACCACCACCGTGTACCCTCCCAACCGGGCACAACGACCTTTGATCATCATCGCTTGCTCAAATATTTATTCCTGTGCATTGGCATAATAACAATCGGGGGATGGGCACGTGAGGGGGAGGAGTGGGTGAAGTGGGGGGGGGGGATGAATGGGAGGGGAGTTAATGGACTGCCGTGGGGTGGGGGGGTTAAGTTAATATCTGTGAATCTGCCAGTAATCTCAGTCAACCCCATGGCACCTGGGTCTGTCCCGTGACCTCCTGCTAGCGAGCGGGCCTTCCCACACTTCACGTGGCCTCAAAATGCACCTAGCATGGCACAAGCGCCGTGTTGACGGGTCACCGCCACTTCGCGAATGTGCGTGCGTGCGTAAGTAGGAGTTCGATTCTCGCTCACGGCCAACATCGGTGGCGAACATCCGAACCAGTCACGATGCATCCCCTAGGTCGACTCGGTCCTAAATGAGTAGACCCTGGTGCGGTGAGTAATGTTGGCCTTCCATTGCTGCTCGCTAACAACGCTTGCCCCGACAGTCTGTTGAGGCTATACGGGTGGGTGGGGGATCTTTGTCTTTGGTGGGTGAAGTGAATGTCTATGGGGGAAGTGAATGTGTGTACAGGGGTCGAGTACATGATTAACCAGCCACCGCGTGGTGATTGGTCGCTGCCAGTGGCGTGTGCTGGGGTAAACGTTGAGTAAGGTTTGCACAGAGCGCAGCGCAAACAACAAAACAGAGACGTAAACTGCGGATTTGAGTGGACTGGGCGCTGGCCATAAGAATGTGGAATTTGCGCCACTGTTTGTTTGAGCACGGAGAACGGGTGACTTTTTGTAAATCCGAGACATTTTAATAAGTGACCATAATCATTATATACTTTCTTTCTTTAAGCAACCAGGTGTTGTGCTGTTGGGAGCGATTCCACATGTCCACGTTATGTCGAGGCCAGTTTATCGGACCACGACAACTCGCTTCCAAATGTGACAGTGTCATCTACCACCCACATTGTGATCGGCATGGCCCTTGCTCTATGTTGAACTTATTTCGCATCGTACGTAACCTACCGCGCTAATCGAAGGTGTCCGGGGGGGGGGGGGACAACTAAAATATAAAAAGCAGTTCTAAAGAAATTCGTTTTCAAACTAGGTTCAAAATTAATGGGTTCTATGCTAGTCTGTGGATCCTAGTCTGTGGCTCCAATGCTTGTCGATGGGTCTTATGCTAGATGATGAGTTCTATGCTAGACTGTGAGTCCGAGTCTGTGGGTTCTATGCTAGTCTATGGGTCCTATGCTATTCTATGGGTCTTATGCTAGACTATGGGTCCTATGCTCCCCTGTGGGTCTTAGTCTGTGGGTGTGAACGCCACCACTGCCCCAAAGGCCAGCGAGCGAGCTAACCGTGGAAAAGTTAGCCCCGGCATTCCCGTGTGAAAAAAGCGGCGACATTAAGACTCGACGAAATAAATGCGATTGTTCAGCTCGACTGAGAGAGAGAGAGAGAGAACATCTGCCCAGATGCATCGCCAGCCACACACAGCCTCGCAATGTCGAGGTGTGTGCGCGCATTCCGACACGGGCGATACAAATACCGGCACCGGGGAAAATGCCGACACGAGGTTTTACACATTGCGTATATATATAAATAAAATGCCGACCTATTGATCGCCACACTTCTCACGTACGCCGTGAAAGCATTGGTGCGGTTAGGTTGCATTGTTCGCACGCTGTGAATATTGGGCAGACAAGCTGCGCTCAGCTCAACGAGACAGGGGTGTGGCGAGAAAGGCGCGCGAGTCTCACGAGAATCGTCAGCACTTGGTGGCATTTTAGTCCACGTGACACGTGCATGCACACACGACAAAGGCACAGGACACCCGTACAACCTTTAACAGAATGTTGGGGCAGGTGCTGCATGCGAGTAGCGCCTAATGTGGGTGGCCAGCACAACACAAGGCCGCTGTTGTCGCCGATGTTTTACACACCCATACCAGGTACTCATTTGAGGCCGAGTCGACCTCGAGGAGGCCCAGGACCGGTTCAGATAATAATCGTCACTGGTGTTGGCGTCCGCGAGCGACAATCGATCTCGGCTCGCCGGACTCGTAGCGCAGGGCTCTAACCGCGACACACAGAGGTCGACCCTCCTCCCGCACAGCCTTGTTGAGTCAGCTGCTGCTGCTGGTGATGCCGCTGGCGTGCACCGATGAAGCCTTTCCTTCACACCCAGCCGTCAATGGCCCAACCCTACACGCGTGCGCTCTACCTTCAAGGCTGCTTAATAAAGGCAAACCTGGTTTTATATATACACACACACATATTTTGTACCCATAATTGAATAATATGGGTCAGATCGCCTAAGTAAAAAATGTGTGCCGTAAAACCTCCGACACCCGACACAGCCCAATTATTGATAAAAGTTGCCACGTGGAGAGATGCATGGCGACTGCCCCATGACGCCGGCTGTAACTACCGGCGCAACGTCTGCACGCGGTCGTTGAACGTTGCGCGGATCGCTCTCCAACAATACACGCCGGGTGCTGCTGCTGCTGCTGCGGTGTTAAGCTTGCACGTTTCTTTATCACGCGACAACTTTATTCATTGGCCGTGTTGGGTGGAGGAGGGTTTTACGAGTCAAAATCACTTGCGCGACCCAAACATTGGTTGCGAAAGCAAACAGGGCCATCCATTGGGGGGGGGGGGGGGAGTGTGTGGGCTCCCCCCCGACTCCTAAACCGGGAGTATCACATCTGACACCGTGACTTGGAAGCGCGGTCCCCCCCCCCAAAGCGTGGGGCCCAGGACGGCCGCCCCGAGTCGCCGTGTACCCTGGGGATGGCTCCGCCGAGCAGTGTTTAAATATATTTTTTGTTACGACAGCCAAAGAGATCACCCGACGACACTCGCACCACAAGACGACATCGTTCCACGCATGAGCACACGCAGGGGCCGAGAGAAAATACCAAATACATGTATTTATTACTCTTTCAACAAAAAGCAGAAGGGACAGCCCGGCCGTTGAGGTGTCTCCGTCGAACGCGGCGGAACTGAAAAGGGTTTTAAACGTGAAATCGTCACGGCCTAGACCTGTGGCCGCAACATGGTGGGAAACCACATTTACCACTTGGAAAACACTCTTCCCACATTTAAATCTAAAACGTCTGGCAAGTCCCGACGCGACCGTACTTCGTATCAAAAACCCGACCGCCAATCTCAAAACAAGCTGGCATCACAGGGACATTTGGGATGTGGCCACTCACTCGCTCAACGTTTCTGTTCAAATAACACACCCTTCATCCCGATTCAAGACGTGTCCACACTCACTCGGGAACCTTGCACCGCGAGGGCACCAACTTAGCGATTGAACGCGTGCGTTACACTTGTGTGAAACAAACAAAAAAAACGGCTTTTGCTTATTTAATTTTAAGCACCGTCTTCTTGGACAACTAATAGCTATGAAGAACAACAACAAAAACCAGAGTGAGGACTGAGTGGGCGCGTTGCGTTGGAATGTAACGGAATCTCCGAAATTGAACAACTCTTGCAAAGCCGACTGACCGCCGGCAGACAAGCCAGCCCGAGTGAGTCTCCGGGAAGACCACGCTCTCATTTACGCCCGTCGCTACGTTTTTAGCCCTCTGCTGCTACAACAACAAAAAACAGACACACGTACTACACACGTACCCCTGTGTAGCCTACGATGGCACTGTTGGGGCCAGCGTTGATGTTGTGGCTATTAGTGAGCACCGAAGAAGGCCGACACGGTGCACTAAATGGGTGGTGTGGCCTACACCACGCTTCGGACCACTATGTCTCCCCAGTAACGATGATACATACACACACTGCACTGGGTACTCATTAAATAAGGCTGAGTTGACCTAGGGGAGGCCCAGAACAGGTTCAGATATTCTCCAATGACTTGTTGGCTGTTGTTGGAAATTGAACTCTGGGCGCCGGGTTTGTAGCGCAGCACGCTAAACGCCACACTACCGCTCCGCACACACACAGACACACAAGCACAAAGACAAGACGCACACAAACGCAACGTCACTTGTGCACTGTGGAACACAAATGAGCCGTTGGGACGAAATTACTTTCGCTGGCACCAACGGATGAACCGGTACGGGGCTGGGGACCAGCGAATTCACCTGATTTTCTCGCACTGTTTCCCGACCCCGCCACACACACACACAAGCACCAGCCGCCGACACACTGGCCGCGTCCGTCTCAGGCACAGGGCTCCTGAACCCACCCTACACGCTCGCAGAGAAAACGTTGGCAGACTTACGTGGAAGGAACACTGGGTTGGAACGCGGGGCAATCTCAGTCGGGAGGGAGGGTGCCGGTGGTGCTCGGCTACCTGGCGCACGACCAATAAAACTTCTCACGCAAGTGGGCGAAGACCCACGGGGGGGGGGGGGGTGGGGGGGGGGCGCCTCGTCCGCTCGCGTACTCAACCACGGCCTGCCGGGAGCGAGCTTCGAAACAAGCCGCCCGGCTCCCGCTGCGGCGCGCGTGTCTCCGTCACGGCCTAGGCCACGGTCTTCAGGAGGATATAGAACTGGGTAAAGAGCCACGCCGCCCTCCGTAATAACGTATAAAGCGTGGAGTTGTGTCGTCCACCTTCTGTCCGGGGGAGGAGGAGGTGTTGGAGCGGTGTCAACGGAATTGACCGTGATGACCGATCCGTGTATTTACATATGTACAGCGCGGTCAATCCACTGCTGGATGAAGAAGCCTCATCACAACACTTGTGTCTGTCATGGGGGTCGTTTGACCATACTTCACCGCGCGGTTGGTGAAGGGGTTGGGGGGAGTGGCGGGTCGGATGACCCAGGAACGGTTCGCCCGCCGATATGTTAGCCATGGTCCGGGAATCGAACTGGAGCAGTTGGGTTCACAGCGCTCTAAACACAGTGCCACTGCTCCACTATAACTTTTCTCATGTTACTGGGCCGGTTATCCCCACGTCAGTACAGATGCAATTGATCACCCGAACCACGACGAATACAATCGTGAGCAGTGTTGTGAATGACAACCTACATGCGGAACTGTTCTCCACAACGACGCCGGTGATTATTTTGTCCTCTATCATTTTGCAACGGACATGGAGCCAATATCGTGGAGAGGGGGGGTTCTCTCGTGCCTGTACGATGGGCAGTTCTCGCCAGCCTTTATTCAAGCGAGCCTGACTCTGCCAATTAGAGAATGGCTGCTGAAATCTAACCCCGCAACTGTAGTGTTCCAAATCTACAGCCTGTGTATATAGACTCTGTCTTCATATATATGTCTCTCTCACCAGGTGGGCAGAGACATCCTCACCCCGTTTGCACCTCAACCCCACGCTACAGCTCAGAGCCACGGGTGCCAGGCTGGGTCCATGCGGCAGAGGTTGTCGGGGCTGTTCGCCGCCGCCACCAGCGTGGTGACCTTGCTCTCGGCGCACTCGAACTGCGCCAGCGAGTGCAGCCGCGTCAGCACCGCCGCCGACGCCTTCTGCAGCAGGGCCACCAGCTGCTGCGAGTCCGTGCCCTCCATTTGGCCACCGCCGCCCGAGCTGCCGCCGGCGCCGCCCACCGTGGCGCCGCTCGTGCCGGTGGCGGGGCCGCCCTGCCCGTCCTCGGCCGTCTTCTTCTGCCAGCCGATGATCTCGTCCCGCAGCACGGCTTTGAGGATGCCGTCGACCTTCAAAGGAGGCAGGTGGTGGGACGTGGGCAGGGTTAGAGCACTGGCCTGTGGCGTCGTCGTCGCCATCGTCGTCGTCGTCGCTTATCGTCGTCATCATCGTCGTCGTCATCACGATCCTGAGATGCAATCCTTCTGCGCGCACGGTGCAGCTGGATTTCACCGCCTCCGCATTACCATCGTCATCTCTATTATCTTTATCGTCATCGTCACCTTTCATCATCGCTGTTGTCAACATCCAAGGGCAGCGGTCTTCGACCCGTGGGTTGCGACGAGATAGGTGGCGGATGATGGGGGGGGGGGGGGGGGGGGGACGGGCGAGGTTGAGAGGAAACAAAAGTGTCCGTCGTAGAATGTTGCCGAACTAGCGTGCCACCGTCGCCGCCACTCCTCCCTGGTAACAACGTGCCGCGTGGCGTCAGCGATCCGTGCGGGTTGTTGTTACGCCCCCCCCCCTCCCCCCCCCCCCCCCCCCCCCGAGAAAAATACCGCTTCACCCCGGGTGCGCCAGGGCAACAATGATGCTCGCACCGCGCCCCCTTGCCAGGCCGGTCTGTCTCGGAGCCATGCACGACAACGCCGCCGCCGCCGCCACCACCGACGGAATGCTTTATCCCGATGCAAACAGGTTGGACCCGACGTGCTGCACACGGCCGTGGAAACGACGTCGCGTAACAGCTCTCTGTGCCCCGGCAGGCAATTTACTGTCAATGATATTTGTCTCACATTTCATCTGTCTCTCCAACGTAAAACAAAAAAAAACAAACATATATTTCGCAAACCATCAGCCGCGCGAGCCTTCTGGGAGCGCCGAATTTCAGCAGCGTCGTTTCAAGACGAGCAAAACTCTGGATCGGTTTTGACACACAGTGTCTCATTAGCAGAGTCAACCACGCTTGCTTGAATTCGATGCTGGTGACATGCCGATCTTCTCGGAAAGGACCCTCCATTAACGAAATGGTGTTCTAGTTTGAGGTATACTCGAGTATACACACACACACGTGTGCAAACAGGGATGGTGGTGGTCGTGGCAGAGCGCTTGGCCACTCAGGGACACCATCTCTCCAGTGAATCGCCATCATCGATCGAGCATCTGTTGACCAAGCTTGGGATGAGAATATTGCCAAGGGACCTCCCTCAGGTCAACTCTGCCTCAAAGGAGAATACAGAGGGGGGGCGCGCTCTCATATGTCAACTTAGCCCGTAATGAGAACTTGGTGCTGTGAGGATTATTATTATTATTATTACGCTTGCTTACCCGAGAGAGCCTCACAGAGTCTCAAGGAGGGTCCTGACAAGTTTTTGCAAGAGGGGAAGTGACAACTGTTATCAGCGATTTCCCAAAATAAGCAATCTGCGAGTTAAATTTTGATTTAAACCTTTCGTGACTGCAGTAATTCATATTCTTAGCTCTTTCGGTAAAGTCACGTTGAAGGGAAACAATAAAATAAAATAAAAAAAATAAAATAAAAATTATCACGACGTTTCGACCATAACACAAACGGTTGCTTTTCACACCTGATGACGACCGTTTGTGTTATGGTCGAAACGTCGTTAGAATTTTTATTGTTTTATATATATATTTTATTATTTTATTGTTTCCCTTCAACGTGACTTTACCGAAAGAGCTAAGAATATGAATCTGCGGGTTGTTCGTGATATTTGGACCCCGACGCCGGCACGCAGTGGCCTACTCCCGTTTCAAATAACGCCACGGGATCCTCGACGCCAGGCTGTGGAACAGACGGTAGGTAAATAAGGGGCGTGTGCGACGATCGCTATGACGTACGCCGGCTGGACGCGGGCACCGCGCGGAGGGGCCGTGCGGTGCCCTTCGGTTCGATACCGTCGATGAACCCCACGCTCGCGGCAGCACTCAGCAAATTGGTCCTTTGGGACCCAATGTGCAAGAGTGCTTTTTATTGTGTTATCTTACAATGGGCTCCTTTTATAGACGGTGGCTGCTCCTTGGGAATGCCTGCTGGCCTATTCTACGTAATGGAAATGAATACACATGAGCGAACACGTATAATAAAATATCTAAGACCGCGGAAACACGCACACGCACAAGGTGCAAACGCTCACAAAGATCCACGTTTTGTTACAGACAGCTCAGACGACGGTGCTGTGAGTGAGCTACAATTGCTTGCCTATAGGTGCACGCTGAAGTCTGAAGGATCCGGTTGTGTGTGTATATGTATATATATATGGATATATATACACACACACATTGGGGAGCAGTGGCACAGTGGTTAGCATGCTGCTCTATGAACCCGGCAACCCGAGTTTATTCCCGCTCACGGCCAACACCAGATAATCTGAATTGGTCATGGGCCTCCCCTAGATCGACTCAGCCTCAAATGAGTACTTGGCGTGGTGTGTAAAAATCGCCACTTGGGAGACAAAGGCAGCCGGGTGTGATGCTGACCACCCACCTCCTCGTATGCCATGCCGGTCGTCAAAGATGCTCACTAACAGCACTTGCCTGAACAGCCTGATGCTGGCCATGAAAGGGATTGGAACCCGGGTCGCTGGGTTCGTAGTGCAGTGCACTAGCCACTACACTCGAGCTCCCCACATCTATCTATGCACACATGCACACACATAAGTACACACACATCTATGCACACACACACACATGCGCGCACATACGAAGACACACACGAGCAACAGGCGTTGCAAACAAAGACATCAAAACTCCTACGGTGGTCACGCAATCTATAATCCCTTACACAAGGGACAGAGCTGGGGCACGAATTTCTGTTTATTTGTCCCTAAGCCCTCCCCCCACAGGGCATGAGGTACAAATGTCATTATTCTACTTCATTGGAAGATTACTCATCAGTGAAAGCATCAGTGCTGGAATGTTCAGCCAATCGCAAAGATGGTTTTGCAAACAATAACAAACGCAAAGATCGCTTTTTGCCAGGGGCGATAGGTGTGCGTCCTTGGCCATCAGAATGTGGAATTTCCTCTACTGGCTAAGGGACACCAATGGAGAAACGTGCCGGGTCCCACGCCCATGCTCGTTTGGGCGGGGGAGACAGCGGACTCGGTAACCTTTGACTTTTTGACAGAATTAGGGCCTCATCCGTGTCATCCTTGGGGGTGGCGCGGTTATTAAAGAGAGCGAGTGTCACGCAATCGGGAGAGTGCACGCGTTCGGCCGAGGTGGCGAGACTGTTAACGCCCTCGCCTGGTACGCAGGAGGTCGTGGGTTCGAATCCGACCCCAACGCCTGTTATACAATTGTTGTCTGCATGTTCGTTCTCCCCGTGGTTGCGTGGATTAATCTCCGGGTCCTCCGGTTTTTCCCTACACGTTTAGAAACAACGTGCGTTTTAAATTATTTGGCTGCGAGGAATTTTCCACAAGATAAGCCACATCGTTGAGCTATCATTTGCGGCCAGGTGGCTTCTGGAAAAAAAAGAGAAAATAGCTTGGTGGGCTTTACCTGATAAAATAAAGATTTTAGTTTCAGAGCCCCGGGTTGGGCTCGACTCGGCCGTACTTCATCTCTCCTGGGGTCGACAACACAAGTGCTACGTTGCAGGAAGTCAGTACTGGTTGCCCCCCCCACCACCACCACCCCTCTCCTCCCGTAGGACTTTCATCGGCTGACCGCCAACATGAGAATGCGGAATTTCCACCACCGTCTCAATCGCCAATGGAGAAAGAGGGCACCAGTTCGTCGCTTGGCCTTGATGGGGGGGGGGGGCGGGGGGGGGGGGGACACACGTCCGTGTGGAAGCTGGGAGAGTGAGGGGCAACGGTCTCGTTGTTGAAAGGTTGAGCCCAGAGTTGCGTAGCTTTGAGGACCCCCAACCTTGCCGCCTCCCGTCTCTGCCCAACCGCACACTCCGACTATCACGGATTATCACGTTTGGCTATGTACGGTGGTGCAAAATAAATTCAACATATTGAAAAGACAAAGATCTCCCCCCCCCCCCCCCTTTGTTTCCTGTTAGCGAGTAGCACCTATGAAGGCCGGCACTGTGGCACACGACTGGGTTGGTGGGCCAGCATACATGGCTGCCCTAACCACTGCAATCAGTTCTATGCTCTCCTCTTCAGCTGGCTATGCCCTGCCCTCAAGCCCTGCCCTGTGTGCCCAGCTCTCCATGCCCTGTCTGCTCACACAGCCGCTCTTCAAAAACGAGACCAGACGGTATATATGTGGGAGAGAGTAGTACAGAATACACATGGCACGTGCGAGATGGTGCGGACTGAATGAGACGGACGAGGCAACGCGTACAACAGACAATACAGACGAGACATCTAGAGCCAGCCAGAGAACACCATCGGGACAGTGGACTAGACAGACGGTACAATTGAAAGGAGCCAGAGAGTACACGAAAGACACACGAGACCACATGAGACGGGATGGAAAAATACAAACAGACTGAACACATGCACACACACACACACGTGCTGGCAGAGACGAGGCAGAACATGTCAGGAACAGATGCTGCCAAGAGGGAACAAATAAGAAATACAACCCAAACAAGACAAACGAGTGAACAGTGACAACAAAAAAAAGACAAGTCATTTCCTGGATCGAATCGTGAGTGACCGCACAACGGCGACAAACAAACTCGTCCGTAGGGTGGGGAGAGTGAATCATTGCGTTTCTACAGGAGGAGGGGAATGTGTTATCTATTCTCTGGCCCCACCCCAACTTGAAACAATCCCTGTTCCTCGGGACTTTGCGCTTTCTGTGCCAATAATCGGGTCGGGGAGGCGAGAGGATGGCGTCGGCGGTAACATGGGCCAGACGGGCACAAGCGATCGGTTGCAAATGCGGAGTTCGGACCAACCGCGGGGCTCCGTTCGACACGCGGCCGCGCGAGGTGGCAGCGGAGGGCACCTTTGGGGAAGCTTTCATCCAGCAGTGGATTGACCACGGTTGATGATGCCGGTGAACAACAGCTGAGCAATCAGGTTCACCTGATGAAGGCCGCTTGTGTTGTGGCCGCAACGTCGTGATTTTTTGTTATTTT